ATCGAAAGAACCTAGAAAAGCCGCCACTACCAGCAGAGATCATACGTGACCTCCAAAGATGGTCGGAAGACGAGGTGACAATTCAGAAAAAAGGGAATCTGAACACGCAATTACCAAAGAATCTACAGCTTCCTAAATCTCCAACACAGCAAACAACAGGTGCACGTCATAAAGTTATAGAACTAGCCAAAGATAAACTTAATGTAAGATACAAAGGGATACAAACAACAATAGATCCACACACTGAGAAGAAAATAGAATAGGTGGCACGAAAAACAATTAGGATAGCAACGAAAATAAAATGTCCAAAAAGATTTGAACGAAAATATAAGACAGTGGACGGAAAAATCTTGACATACACTCCACACACCGCTTGGGTACAAACATTTGGCAAACAACCAAGATTATTAAGAAATAGTGGAGCAGCTTTTGTACCAAACCTCTGAATTTATGGACCTTGTAGACCATCCCAGCTAAGCGATTATGTGGCTTATAAATCCTCACGGAGAAATGGAACATGTCTACGTTTTTTAGACATCAACAACCCAAACGCGACCCAACATGCAATGTTTGAAGAAGACGAGGCGACGGGCCTCCCGGTGAAACAGACGAAAAAGTCGAAACAACAAACTATCAGTCCCGCAAAACGAAAGGCGAAAGCAACGGGAAAGCGCACCGGAGGACGACCTTCAAGACAACCTCAGAACAGAGGAATGACTTTAGAAACAGAGGCACCAACAGAGAAGGAGAAGACAACAATGGCAGACGTGGAATTAAGTCAGGATGACAATAGTTCAACCACATCATCGGAAGATGTGGCCCCTTCGCCGAAACGGCAGAATCAAAAGACAACCCCACCAGCAACAGAACCCTCAAGAAGATCCACCCGGAACCGCCAATCGGCGTTATCAAATGCATTTGGGAATGCAATTCCAATCAACATCATACTCGACCCGAGCAACACTAACAAAGCAAGTCGACGATTCGAGATGGATTCGCCACCCGAACAGGACAAGTCTAATCATCCAAGCCTGAAAACCTTAATCAAGGAAATGGGTTTCTCGGATAAAACCCCAGAGTATCAAGCGTGCCTAAAGTTCATTGAAACTATAAGCCCTAAACAGACCAAAAAGAAAGAGGAAGTGGTGGATTTAACGTCGTTAACGGATGAGGAGATGGCGGAGAACAATAACGATATTCTACTTATAAATGGGGGAAAACTCAGAAACTGGATGCTGAAGCAGAAATGCCAGATGATGAAGGACATACGAAGCAGGAAGACGAAATGACAAAAGAAGTAAAGGAAAAATGAATGATGTGCGCGTCCCACGGGGACGAAAAACTCAAAAACTTAAAAGTAAACGGTCCCATGTGGACTTTAAAACTCAATTATCAGTTATAATTTAAGTGTCAAGGGGGAATGTCATCCGGCATGGACCGACAAAACTCAGATATATATACATTGACATTTATGATTTATGTTGTTACATATGATAATGATGTTGCATGCCATAATTATACATTTAGTCGGTCAATCGACCCTGAGAGATCTCATCTCGAACACAGACCGAATGAACGGTCAGAGCAAGAACGGTCAGATCTGTTTGTCGATCCATTCGGATTCAGTAATCAAACGTTCATACATTGAGGTATGACAAATACTTCACGTTTATAATTAATTTTACCACAGAATTTTTCTTCCTTTTCTTTACTAAAGCAAAATGACCAAAAACGATGAAGTGTTGAAATCCTAATAATGACAATTGCAAGGATACTGACACCCGAAGTTTTACCGAAATTTTGAAATTTTCATACGAAAACTCAAATGATTCATTCAGTTTACTGGTTCAACGATGATGAGGGTGCAAAAATTGATGAAAATCAAGAAGAACAACCCTGGGCCACTTGCAATCCTTACTTCAGTGATCAATTGAGGGTGGGAGTTTATTTTATAAAATTTCATTTTTGTGATATTTTCGTGCGATTTGAGATTTTCTGTTTTCAGAAAGAAGAATTTTAAAAAATTGAGTATTTAAAAAAAATCACCCTAGTCTATTCAACCTATGCAAAAGTACACGCCAAAATCGTCTCTTGTGGAGTGGTGCAAAGTCAAGTAAAATCAGATCTAACAAAGTTAATTTGAAAAAACTTAATTTCAAAATCCTGAGTCGTTAATATGTGGACATTTCACCCAATCACTCTATTCTGCTAATGTTAAAAAATTATCTTTAACCCAATAGTTTGAGACGTTTCTGTGGGTAAAAACTTAAACCACACATTGGTTCTGTCAGAAACAACGCTTGACCTTGAAGGTGACTAAATTGATGAAAATACTTTTTATTGAAAAAAAAACTTGACAATTTGAACGTTACTGTTTATCCCTCAAAAGACGTGAGCTGTTATGATTATGTTGATCTCCAAAAGTACAGCCCTGGAGCAAAACGCAATGTGAGACTGGGCGTGACGTCGTTTCAAAAAAGTTGCGGCATGTTTTTCTTTATCAAATTATATCTACTGTGCAATGGACCAAGGCTAAACTATCAACTTATCAACTTGAGCATGTATGAACTAAAGGAGCTCTCTGAAACACCATCTGCATTTTAAACAACAAGAGCCTCCACCAACTAGTAGTTGATCTATATGACTTGACTGCTCCGACAACAAAAAAAAAGAAACAAAAACAATCACACTAAAACAGCAAAACCATCTAAGAAAACTCACAAAACACCTAGGGGAGCTGCGGAGGGGTGGCATGAACAAAAAAACTCAAACCGAAAACCGAAACGGAAAAACTCGATGTGATGAAGCATCGTGGTGAAAAAATCAATATAAAGTAAATTTCACTCCATTTATATATTGAACTTCACCCTTCAGCCCCTACACCATTTGGATATGTGCACAGAACGGAAAAAAGACCAAGCATATAGTTAAGTAATAATTGGAGTAAAGTAAGATTATTTTCCATACACCCAGCTAAAACAAAGTGCTATCCGTCAACTTGAAAACTCAAGTTCTTTTGCAAAAGTAGAAAAAAATGAATTATTCTACAACATTTAGCCAATATAACCCATGTCCGGGATCTGACTCAACTTGATTGTCTAAAGTTGCAGATAATTACAAAAAAAAATTTAAAACTCGCTGATTGCAAATAACATTCAAGTCATTGCGCTCTCATGAATCGTGGCTTATTTTTTGAGTCGTCGTATAACAAAAACCAGACTAATGATTGATCCTTTCATAAAAGCCGGCAATTGATACAGTTGACTCTTCTGGAAGAGTGACAATTTTTGATTTCGATAATCGAATCCTGGAAAAAAACCTTAGAAATTGCGTAGTAATAACGTTACTATTTCGAAATTGACTACTTTGGCCAATTGTTTTTTCTTATTTTTTTTGCATTTTAAATTTATGTGTTGTGTCTGATTGATTTTGAGCAGGACAAAACAATTTGTGCAATATGAGTAAAAGCTAACATGCTGCCCAATCCCAATTTAAGAAAAAAAAGTTGGACAAACGATAGACTGTTCATGTGTTTGGTGATACCAAGTGGTTCCGGTAAAACCTAATTTTTCAAGGAATTCTTCTATTACTATAGATTTGAAGCAAAAATTGGTTGAATTCTTTATTTTTACCAGCCTAATCAATTGTTGTTCAATGAAATTTGAAAAAAAACTCCCGTAATTATGTTTATACCGGGAGTGAAGTTTGTTTTCATCTCAACAGCAGAGAAATAAGGCTTTTCGTTTTTGATGGTGTATCCACAGAAATTTCTACAAAATAGCTAGCGCTGATCGGCATTAAGTTTTACAATTGATTAATATCAAGCACAATTAGTTTTACAAAAACACAGAGGCCAGAGAAGCTGAGCTGCAATTAGTTGATATAGTTTTGAATCAAGTAGCAAAAACAACTAGTATTAGAGATGATTTTAAAACAAATTAAATTCTGAGTCATTTCATCAGCAAAAAATGTTCACCAAAAAATCAAAGAATGATAGATTTTGTTTTTTTTTCTGTCAGAGGTAGTAATGATTATATTGTCAGGAAATGTGCCGGGGAAAATGTGAAAAAAATTGGAAGATAGGAAGAATAAATTAGACGTATTTTTCAAAATCAAGTTACATAGCAGAAAGGCATGCAGTTTCGAGTTAAAAACTTCAATATATCTAGTTGAAATTTTTCGTCCGGCAGCATTGACCACACAATCCTATGTGTTCTACTTCCCTACACAACCCATCAGCAAAATATTCTTTCAGAATATCCACAATACTCAACTATTCTTCACAAAAAATATTTCAAAATAAACTTGATCTGACACAAAAATCCAAACTCTTGCCTGTTCGTAACCAGCAACACAAAAAAAACCGTCCCTACGGGTGTCAGCTACAAAAACAACTAAAAAAGAAGAGCAAACTGTTATTATTTCCGCGGAGTGTTCTAATGGCCAATCAGTCAGTTGTTGATTGAATTTTGAGTAAAGTTGGTGGAACAAAAACTAATCAGGCACGCAGCCTTTTGAAACTAATTGGATCACTCAAATTTCTCAAGGTAAAACTGGTATTGAGTTTCTTCAAAACATTGATAGATCTGTCATTCGTTCCTGTGTAGACTTCAGAACAAGTTTCTATTCGTTTTATTTTTTCGAACAAGTTATTTAAACTTAACCAATTTTGGAATAAATCTACAGCTTTTTCATGATAATTATTTGATTGATAATTCGTGTCATGAATAAATCACTTCTAACTTTCTGAAAAACTTTAGGAAAAATTGAACAAAAAATAACGAAAAAACAAGGTTTTTGTTTTGATGTTTTCCGAACTATAAAACCTTTTTTTACAAAGCTTAGTCTGATCGCTACATTCTGTACTACTTGCATAGCTATCGGTTTTCCTTAATATCATTGAAGTTGAAATATTTTGAATCTCGGTTAAAAACTGTTATCATCAGCAAAAATATTATAATTATTTATAATTATGACGGGTAAAAAGAATACACGCTGACCTTGGCATTTAGGATGTGAATCAGATTGGAACTGGAATCCCTCTGCACAATCACACACAAAAGACCCCTCTGTGTTCACACATTGACCCCTACTGACTGATGCGGCTGGCTCATTTCCAGCAGCTGGCACATTGTAAGTGCCGCAGATATCTGAGTTCCCTTCGCATTCGTCGATGTCTGAAAAAAAAGTTCATAGCCAACAACAGACAGTTGGAAAAGAGTACTGAACGTAAATAATCAGAGAAAACACTGGTGTTTTTCGAAAAAACTTCGAATATCGATTTTCGAAGAAAAAATGAATGGCCTTGAAGCTCTTGGAACTCAAGAACAATTTATCGTTTTGGCACTTTTTTGCATAAAACTAACCCAAAATGTGAATAAAAATTACGACTTTTTTCTGAAAAGTTTACGACTTCATAACGTTTGTCGACTCCTAAATATGAAACTGATTTTTTTCGGGACTTCTAAATTTTAATTTTAAATCTCTTACCATTTATCGATTTCAAAAAATTAAATTAAAACAAAAACTAGCATAAAATAATTCAGCAAAAAAATAGGTTAAAGTTTTTCAGCTAAATTGCAAATAATTTAATTATATTTTAGCCAAAGGTAATTTTAGTTAACTTTGTTACATGTTATTCGGTTTGTGGCAAACAGTTACTAACACAACTTCAACTAATGAACCCTTCTTCATAGCAAATAGCTGACACATTTTTTTCTGATGCCAACTGGTGATGTGAAATCTTACTAACCCTCGCATTTAGATCCGTACAGACTGTTGAATTGGAACCCTTCCTGACATTGGCAGTAATAAGTGAGAAATTTGTTCTCGCATAAAACCACGCGATCAGGCTCTCCGCATATTTCAGCCGCACATTCGTCAATATCTGCAAAAAAGAATGAATTCAGGGGCGGATTAAGGGGAGGGCGGTTGGCGGACGCCTTCTTCCCTCAGGAATTCGACCCCCTGCCGACCCAAAAGGTCCCCCCTTTGGTACTTTTTAAGAACTCCATTTTTGGCCAACCTATCCTAAAACTTTTCTAAGGGCGTCTTGGGCGCCAATATATATCATAAATTTGAGGGGGAAGCGCGCGTCGAAAAAACGCGATTTTTTGGTCAAAATTTTCCAAAAAGTCCTCGAAATTAATATTGTTCAAGTTTGCTTCTAAATTCAATCTTCTTAATAATATACATATATATATATATATATATATATATATATATATATATATATATATATATATATATATGTATATTATTAAGAAGATTGAATTTAGAAGCAAACTTGAACAATTTGTTGATGGAAGTTGAATTATTTTGTACAAAACTGATATCAATTTAGTACAATTAATAGCGAGTCAATCACATTAATTCATTTTTGTCTTAAATTAACATTTGAAAAAGAAATAATTAATGATTAATAGTTTTGAAAGAAAAGTCATTACTGAAGAACAGTTTTGCAAGAAAAACAATATTGATTACGGTTTTAAAAGCAAAATCTTTATGTTCAAAAAAATAGTTTTGGTTACGCTCTTTATTTCAAAACAGTTACAGAAATATGATGATAGATAGATGAAAATTGAGAACATTCTCAATATCAAAAAGAAGACGTCTTCAAATTTTCACTAAAAAAAAAATTGTGAATGAAATTCACTATTTTCCTGAAGTTTAGTCATTACATATCTTACGTTTAATATTCTGATCCGTGTATCACTCAGTAGCGCTTATTTCTTTATTTGATTTTCTTGAAATCGTTTAAAAGTTTGTCTGTAGGCTTTTCATTGGACTTTTGCTTTTTATGTTCAGACTTTCGTAACGACAGTAACGGAATTTTTGAGCTCGGGTGGGTTTTTTTTCCTCAGACAAAATTTAATTTTTTAACTAGCCATTAAAAATAATGTTGTCCTGAGCTTGAATTTGAAAAGATATTGGCTCTTTTTCCTTCCCCCCCCCACCTCACTCAAACATGAATTTTATGGTCTAACAAGCGGTCTTACAAGGTTGAATATGGAGACCAAATATGTTTGTCATGGCCTAATCATTCTACATGCCAATTTTCATGACAATCGGACAAAGTGAACAGTAATTTCAAATAAAAAAACTTGCAGGTGGGGGGGGAAAGGAAAAAGAGCCAAGATATTTTATCTGTGATCGTTTTTTGTATAGTTATGGGAATTTAAAGATTGCAATTTTAGCCCATTTCAGGGGACAATTAACGCGCGATATATTTCGCGCTATTAACGCGTAAGCGGAAACCTAATTCGTCTTAGAAATAGTTCCAAATTGGTTGAAGGAAACTTATTTGACACAATTGATTTGTTACTAGGAGCAAAATCTATCAAAACTCTATTTGGCGTGTGCAGGGATGATTTTCGCAAAAATCTTAAATTCGAAAAAAATGTGTGTTTTATTTTTTCTACATTTAACTTTTCAAGTTATTTTTTTGACCTTTAGATTTTCATGTCCTTACTGCTCTATAGACCTTAAAAGGCTGTCGGAGAATTCAGGGCCTCACTGATACGAGCAGTCTTGTCTCTTTTTGCATATATGCAGTTCATAAGTCGAAAAACTTCCAGTTTCATCTCCTCGATCTGTTTGTTGAGCTTGCATTTTCTTGCGATTAGTCGCACTAAGAAACGTTTGCTTCTGCAGTATGTCCAGTTTTGTTTTTAAGGATGCATTTAGAAATTTATGTTCCATTTTGATAAATTGTATAAAATTTTTATGATCAACTTGATTCTGTTCCGGTGAACAAATGAAAAACAGTTGAGTGTTAGAAATTTTTTTTAAGTTTGAGAGGATAATCAAATTGCCAACTGAAAGTTATCAAATACTAAGTTGTGGAGTTTAGATGCGATTATCCTTATACAGATTTTTGGATATTAGTCTTACATTTCTAGAACTTTACTGAACGGTGTAAGAGTTTTTTTGATATATTTTTCCCATCAACTGTTTGGATGGTTTAAGCGTAATTCTTTAATTATTAGTAAAACCAGAATCACCCAATTTTGAAGAAAAATTTTGGTTAAAAATTTCGGTTGAAAAATTGTGCAATAATAATGTGCCATAAATGAAGCCATAAATGAAGACAACTTTTGGTGTCTTCATTTTTTGTCTAATCTTAATCCAATTTGAGAAAAATGTTCTTGAAATTTCGATTGTTGTTCGTTGTATCCGCTGAATTTAATTCAGCACTGTACATTGACGTTTAAAAACCTATGTTTTATTTAGTCTACCTTTGCAGTTCATCTCCATTGGATCTTTTACTAGATCACTGGCCACCTCTGCGCCTTCCAGACACCCTTTACACACGCTGCCTCCCTCCACGTCCTCACAACCATTCAAGTGGTGTTCCGCACAGAAATCCAACCCATGGCTCAAACAAGTCTTCTCCGCCACTAGTGCAACATAGTTGTTTGCCTATCATTTTGTAGATACGCTTTACGCGGCAAAGTAATTTCAGGCAACCAGCTTGAAGCCTAACCCGGAGGTTAAACACATTTAGGTAGACAAAAGCTCTCTTAACTAAAACGCATTAAACTCTGACTTTCTTGAAAGAGCTTATCTTTTAAATTGCAGCGCACAAGCGATTCGAACGCGCAATCATAAGATTGCTGGGCACCATCACTACATAACGCATCGACTCAATGCCAACATTAGCAACTTTTTGCTTGAGCGCAACTGGAAAAACTAGAAAGGTACGTTTTAGACTATACCCTGAATTGACTGGGTTCATTGGTGTTGTAAAATCGGGCGACCCTTCAAAGAACTATGATGTCTCAACTGAAGTTGAATAGAACTGAAGTTGAATGCAAAATTCAGAAAGAGAAACATTGCCGTATGTTTTGAGGTGAACAGAATAGTTTCCTATCCGAGTGATGACTTCGGTTCTTAAATAATTTATGAGAGGGGTTAAATTAAAGAATGATCGCGCCCAAATCTTGCTCGAAAGTTGCCCAGAAACCGACGAAAGCAGAGCATGAGAGCAATTTTTGAGGGTTCTGCATTTCAAAAAAGTTTTTTTATATTTTCACGGCCCAAAATATTATCAACGCGAGACTCCAACTTAACTTTGGCGATTGAATTTATTTCGACTAATCATCTGCGAGTATTTTTTCAAGTTTCCATATTTGATCAGATGATCTCTTTAACTATTTCCCCCTATGTTACCTAGTAATGAACTGCCCCACCCCTACAAAGTGAGTTAAGACCGATGTGGTTAACTCATAGAGTAATTTCGGATAGAGTACACCGTCTGCTCGTCACGCTATCTTATTTTCGACCGGATAGATTCGTGCAACTTCTTAGTCTAATACCGATCCTAATCTTACTCTTATACTTTCTAGTCTCAGGGTGTTTAACTAGTCTCTGCTAGGCTCAATAGATCTAGGGTATACTGGTTTGTTGCGGCTGCTGAAGTTCTCTTGGAGAGACAACTAATTTCTAAGTTAAATTCAAATCTCTCTGGTGCTGAAATTACAAGTAATTTCAGCACTTACAAATAAGTGGGTTGTTAGTTAGATGGATCATGATTGGTTAATATTAAATACTTTACAGTGGTAAAATATCTAATTTATCCAATCATAAAATATAGTTTAGATCAGGTTCCACCCATCCGGGTTTTACAGAGTTTTTTAGAATTATCTTTCTGCAATTCAAAGGATGGATGATGAACGTTGGTATTTGACAAACATCGTATTCTTGTCCGGTTTCTCTTGTTAGAGAAGTTCCAGGATGCTGGAGATAGGGACATCAATCGTTGTGTCTTCTTGTGACAACGACTGTGTTTCCCAACGAAATCAATCTGATTTCAAAATGGTTTGCTATGACGGGTTTTTCTGTATTATGTAGAGAACTTGCTTTGTGTTCGACCTCGTCTGGGAATGGCGTGGAGATTGTGCGTGGAGGGGATACCTTGTAAGTCGGATCTGTACGTATACTTCAACATCGAGGTGGTCATTGGTCTAATTCAATGAAGTCCTTTTCTGCGAAGTCAAGTCGTACTCTAAATCCTTTGAGTTGTGATTGTGGACGGCATATTGGTTGTGGTTGGCCATTCTTTTTCGAGTGCAGTGGGGTCATTTTGTCTTTGGATGTTCGTCTTTGTTGTTGTATGCTGATCTATATGCTGCAAAGTATGATTTACATTTTATAAAATTTTTATTAGTTCAGTGTTTTTATTATGATTTTGGTTAGTTGTTTTCACAAAAGCTTTTTGTTTTAGTTCGGTTATTTTGAAGAGTTACTCACCCTTGAGTACCTCTTATTAAAAATAGAAGTGTGGTCAAAAAGCGTGGATGTAGCGCGGTGGGTTAGGCCGGCTATAGAGCATGCTCAGGACGTCCTCTCTGGTGGGTTAGGCCAGGAGTGGGAGTATGATTTCGTGCGGTTTCTGTGAGAGGTCCTATTATGTGATAACGTTTTATGTTGGGTTTATGGTGGTCTTTCTTATGTTCCGTTGGTTGTGTCCTTTTTTCAATAATCAAATTGTTTTTCTTATGGGTTTGTCTTTCGACTTTTTCGTGTTTTATTATTTCTTTGTTAGACTTTATAATAGTCTTCAAAAGAATCAACTGGGTTAATCCGGTTTGGGTACCGTTGGTTTTCTTTTCTTAGTCATGCTGTTATTTTATGATTTTTGGTGTTTAGTAAGCTGCGTTGGTTAGTTTGGTTTAGTATATAAGTCCTTTCCAACCGGGTTAAAGGGAAGTTTGAAACTTGTTATCTTGTGTTAGAGTTGTTGAGTGTGAAAACTTGAAACTTGAAATTCATTATTTAAACAATTCTTCGTGGGCGAGCTGTACGAGTTTGGATAGAATTCCTGTGCGAGTGAACGAAAATATCAAAAGGTTAGTACTGCATTTTTATTTTATTAATTTACTACATAGAATTTTAATTTTACTGCTAGTTTTGGGGAAAAGTTAAGTTACAAATTTTCATCATTATGAAATTTACTGTTTTTGGGGAAACAATTTTAAAATTAATTTACTACATTCGTATGAATTTTATTATATTTATCTAGTGCAAAATATTAATTGAGTTTAGAAGAATTTTAACAAGTTTTTATTTTTCTTTTCTGTTTTTTGCAGATGATCGTGGGATGAAGACTAAAAATCTAAATGAGACATGAGTAAAGAATGGTTAGTATTAATTTAAATTTAGTAGTGAAGAATATGTATAAATTATACTTACCTGTTAGTCGTCGGGGAAAAAACCGTGGGGGAAGATGTCGTGTATCATGTCTGAATTTGTTAGTAATTTTGCTAGTATGCGAATGATGTTTTTAGTTTGAAGCAGTGGTCAAAGCAATTGAAGTGCTTTAATAGTTTTTAGTTCTTCGGTGCCAACTGCAAACTCATAAGGTGTGTTTTGAATTAGATTATATATTTTGTGATTGTATTTAGTATTATGGATGAATTCTAATATAGGGATTTCTATAGGTTGGATAAATTCATGTGGGATAAGGAAGGGTCTGGATTCTTCAGCATTAAAGGTCTTCGTGATGGGACAAAATATATACATTTGAGTTATTGGGTCATAATTGCGGAGGATGCCGTGGAGCTTAGTATCTTTGATGCAATATGTGAAATTTAGAAAAAATGGCGAAGTGTACTTCGAATTAAGAAACTGAAAACGGTGGTGTGGTTGTCTTGATGGAGTGTGTAGATCAAAATGATTTTGTATGAAGCGATAATATGTATATGTGTGGGTTTGTTTAGTGCGTAACATAATGTCGTGTGAGCAGTGCAAATCGCGTTCATGTGGTGCAAGGAAGTGGAAGGTTAGTGAAAATAATTGAAATTCTTCTTTAAAACTTTCGTAAGCTTGCATGTCAGTTAGTGCTTCAGAAATGATGTGATCATATTTGCGATCAAATATATTGAGTGTGAATACATATGGTGTTTTGATGAAAAATTTTTCTGTTAGTTGTGGGTTAGCGAAGCGGTCGTCATCTAAAAATTGGTCTTGATTAGTTCGGATGATATTATGGTCGTAATATTTTAGTGTAAATTCGTTAGCTCGAGGTGCAGTGAAAGTTTTTGGTGATTTTTTATATCCTGTATAAGTAAATTGTCTATGTGTTAGTGGTGTGGTGAGTCGATATAGCATATCTTTATTCCTTTCTATATCGTTATGAGTATTAGATAACGGTAGGCAAAGGGGATTAGTAAAAAGATAATATGTTGTCCAATGAAGTGTAGGCATTAAAACATGTTCATCTACAAAACTACATGTGTCGTTAGTGTCGTGAGGGGTGTTTAAAGTATACTGTGGAAATGAAGGTAGGGTGATTGCTAGGAAATCTTTCGTGTTGGTGTGATGTGGATGATTAATATATTCACGGGCTGTTCCTGGTTTGATTGGGAATGGATGGTTTGAGAATTTTCTTTTAAAAGTGCGATAAGCTCTATTAGTGCTATTTGATGATTCGGTGGATGTGGGTGATTGTGCTAATGATGCAGTATAAGCTGAAGAGGGTGTAGGGGTAGGTGGGTTTGAGGATTCTATTGTGGAAGAAATCTGATTTATAGTGAGGGTGTTAGGGTGTAATAGTTGTTGTTGTAGGGTGATAAAATTATCGAGTTCTTGGGAGATTTGGGGAATATCAGGAGAATTGGATGATCGGTCTGAATGAAATGAAGAGTAGGTTGGGGTTACTTGTGAAGCATAAGAGGGGGTAGAAATGGACGGGAGTGGGTAATTTGGTGGGATTGGTTGAAAAGGGGGTTTTGAAAAAACTGAGGAGTTGGTTTGAAAATTATTGGATGGAGATGGTTCGGCGTCTGCAAATTCATCAGGGGTTTCTATATTAGGGTTATTGAGTTGTGAAATGGAGTATAAAACTGAAATATCTGAATTAGTGTCTGAATTCATGCTTGATGTTATATTACTAGTTGGGAAATCGGGTGGCGGGAAAGCAAAAAGTGGAATTATTGTAATTGGAGTGTTGAGGTTGGTTGGATGGGAATTTGAGCGGTGTAGGGATCCAAGTTGTCGGCTCATCGTGGGCTAAAAAATTTATTATTTTGAGACTGAAAAGCGGTGGTATGGGGTTGTTCGATAATTTGTTCATATGTATTTTCATCTTGTGAATGATGTGTCATTATATGTTGTATGGGACTTTGCGATATGTTTGGTCTAAAATTTGGATTATGTGTTATTGCTAAGTTTCGGAAATTTCGTGGGACTAAGGATAATGAATGGTTATGTGGTAGGGGTGGCAACTGTGGTGCTGTAGGCGTTACTTCTACCTTATTATGTTCTTCGTCGTACGTGTTCTGTCTTGTCGCTTTTTTTGTGTTATATTCTTTTATTTGTGCGTCTAGAAGAATTTTGTTTATTGATGATGAAAAAATTCCAAAAAATCCTGCAAATAGTATGCGTGCTACACTTGCTT